ATGCTTCATTTGATGCTTCATTTGATGCTTCATTTGATGCTGGGGCTGACCTCGATCGAGTGAGGCCAATTCTTTCGTCACTCGGACGGGGTACGGGAATCAATTGATTTATCCTCAGGGGTGCTCCTGAAGGTACCACTACCGAAACTACGTAACAATCAGACGAAAGCAAGCCTTTCATCCTCCTAAATCTCAGGGTGCTGATGTAATGTTCTGAAGCTTACTTATATGTGATGAATTGCATCAAAAGGTTCAGTCTACCCAGGCGAAGAATACGATGCCATTGCAGTGACTTTTTTTCCTAGAAAGATACCAATCTGACAAGCCCATGCATGAAGAATGGAGCATCTGCTGGTCTTCCTCAGGACGTCACACATCCGTCAGTCTTTCAGATTCCAAGGTGTTCTGAAGCTTGGATGGTGGATTCCATCAAAGATTCAAGTTTGACAAGGTGAAGAATATCATGTCGTGATGCAGTTATTGCTTGAAAGAAGATACCGACCACGACAATGGAGTGTGGAGCACCTGCTTCTGGTTGGGTCATACACAAGACCTCACGCCGGAGCCTTTTGCCTTTCAGTGGCATGTTCATATGATTCTAAGACTCCTGTTACCTTCCTTCTGACATATGTGTGTGTGTATTAAACCCATTCCATTGTCCTGTTGTCCAATTTGCACGGTTTCCTGATTCGTATGAGTCGGATAAAAATTCTTTTGCATCGCATCCTTGCGTTGACCGCTGACTTCAGTAGTCTGATCGTTGATGATTCGTTCTCCAGTAAACTTCCGTATTTTGATATCTTCTGATCGCTGACGGCGGCTACCGGTACGGTATTCCGACAAATATCTTCTGATGATCTAATTTGCATGGTCTTCATTGGCCGCGAACTTGACGAAGTCGAACCGAGTGACGAGCTTGACGCAACCTCATACAGCAATAAGCTCATGACATCACAAACGGCAATGTATTACAGTAGTGCAAATCCACCATCGTATGAAGATCATATGCACCTTGTTGCTTCTGGATTTACACTTAGAAGAGATTCGTTCTAGCTTTGCTGCTCCGTCATGAACTGATTTGAATGTCGGCACCAAATCATTCGAACGAACTTCACCGCCAGGCGAGATTTTCCGACCAAACCCAGCAGCCAAGAGAGTCATGCCGAACCATCGCCACAACAACAAGTCCGTCATGGAAAGGTCGGATTTGCTAGTGGTGTCACCATGTTGTTGGCAATTCTCCATCAAGAGTCCTACTGGCCGAAGAAAGCTGTGTTTACCAAAAGTTTGGATGTCACGATTTCAGAGCACCTTTAATGGATTGTCACACGCATTCATCACACTACCGGTACAGTGGTGCGCCCCGGACCAGGAACTCGGCCATTTCAATCCCCCCCCCCCAAGAAGAGACGCATCCCTTTCACAAGCAAGACCCAAGCCCACAACCTTATGGGAGAGGAGGATTTCAGCGGTCTGAAAAGCAAACCTAAATAGAATATGCAATTTGTTTCTCTTCAATTCATACTTTATACAATTATGACTGCTTTGACATGGAATACTAGTCTGATTCTTTGGTTCGAAGCAGAGAAGTCACACGTGGAAGCCTAGTGAAGCTCCCGGGACGAACTCAGCAGCCTTCTCGAATGTTGTCATCTGTTGAACATGACGCACCCAGTTGTTGTCGGTGACAACAGCAATGTGTCCATTGTTTATGCCGCGGATGCCACCAACAAAGTGGACTCGAGCGCGCTAATGTAGTGACAAGACCTCCTTCGAAGTAGCGAGGCGAAGAAACAATGTTTCTGAATTCGTCCCAAGGCTACTTTTTCACCATGGCAGAGGTTATGCAGAATGCGATGGTGGGCCTATTTTCTACTTGTTTCTTCTCTCTCTTCATCTTCCCTCTTGCTACATCTGAACATACCATTGAGGACATTGCCAATTTCTTCACTAGATTCGAGGAGAGGCAAGACAGTGATGACAATGGCAGCTCCGAATCCCCAAGCAATGGCAATAAGAACCCAGAAGGCAAAGTATTCCCTGGTGAACTTTCCAGCAGGGATAGAAAGAAGAGGCCAGATGACGATCAAGACCAAAGTCAAGACGTATCCACGCTTGGCGATCCAATTCTCGGCTTCTTGGAGCATCTCAGGGTCTTGGTCCTCTGGCTGCAAACCACGGGTATCGTCTACTTCGACAAGGGTAATTTTCTCGTCGAGAGTGGCAAAGTCAAATTCTTGTGGGTCAATAAAGATAGACCACACAACATGGATGAAAGCAGATGACAAGATAGCCACCAAGTTTCCACAAAGCATGGCTTCGTTGGTTCCAAGACTGTCAATGGAGATTTCTCCTTCGCGGACTTGAGCAGTGACCATCCAGGCGGTGATGGCAAGCACCAATCCAGACCAAGCGGCAACAACAGCTCCAGTTCCAGAGGCCTTGGACCACTTGAGCAAAAACCACAAAGGTGCAACGGCAGATCCAATAACGATACCCATGAACAAGTAGACCCATCCAAGAGAAAGTCCAATTTCGAACAAGAGGAGGGAGAGAGCTCCCATCAGCAATCCAAATGCAACAATCACTTTACGGGAAACACTCAAGATTTGCTCTCCAGTGGCGTCAGGGTTGATGTATTCACGGTAGATATCGTAGGCAACCAGCGAAGAGACGGCAATAGACTCGGCAGACCCAGTGGATACAATGGCCATGAACAGCATGATCAAGATGAGGATAGCACCGGATTCTCCCAATAAATGAGTTGCGACGGCAGGTGGGACAAGACCATTTCCGGCTTCGACATCAGTGATGGGAAGTAACAAGGCGGTGGAAGCAAGGCCGAGAGAAGTGGCAAGGGTGAAAGGAATAGCGAACCAACAAATTCTGGGGAATTGGTCAAGTTACGAGTGTGAGTGACGATAGTACAGTGATGCAATAGCACAGATAATGCCATCCAAAAATGAATAGGTTCAACTTACCCTCCGAGCAAGTATCCACGTGCGGCCGATTTTGGGCGAGCAGCAATAGCAGATTGCCAGTAGGATTGATCGACAAAGACAGTTCCAAAGTTGCCGACAATATTGATAATACCAAACATGAGACCGCCGGACGAGATCATGGTCAGGTATGATCCGTCTCTGTTTCCGTCAACAGGACCGCATGCAAACTTGCCAGTTTCGTATCCCCTGTAGATGGTTTCACATTCTCCTTCCGTGTAAGTGACAGTCTTGTCCAAAAAGTCGTAAATTTGATTGGAAGAGTAGTTCATGATGTATACAATGAAGACCATTGTAATCAAGACACCAAAGATGATCACAGTATGGATATAAGAGGCCAAAAATGTAGCTTGAAGACCACCAGAGGCAGTGTACAGGATGACACCCCAGGGGATCAAGAAAGAAGCCCATCGGTAATCAACACCGGTCAAAGCTTCGACGGTAGCGGCTCCACCAAGCAAAAGCATAGATGTGACGATCAAGTTGGAACAGAAGCAAAAGAACAAAAAGGTCTTGTGGGCAGTTCGTCCCCAACGAGCATTGACAATTTCACAGACTGTGTGTGCAGAAGGAGCGACTCTCTTTAGGGCAATGGCAAGGACACCAAACAGGATGACTTGGATGGTGGCACCAGAAGCATACCAGAAAGGTCCGGAGACTCCGTATTGCCAAGCAACGTTGGAAGATTGCTATAGAATGAAACAATACAAATGTTAGCAAAACATACCAAGATTGAAGCTTCAGATGTTGTCGTTCAGACTGCCTTTCATCAATCTAGACTTACCAAAAGTGTGGCGGCCCAAGTCCATTGTGAGATGATGACAGAGGCAGTAAGGCCAGTCTTGATAGAGCGTCCAGCTGTGTTAAAATGCTCCGAAGTCATGGTTCCAACCCCTCCGTACTTTTGGCTAATGATGACAATGATGGTGGTGATGACACTGAAAAGTGCACCGAATCCAACAACGACTGCCCAGCCTACTACCTCAGGAAGCGGCGCATCACCTCCGAAGAAAGATTCGGAGTCTTTATACTTTGAGAATGGAGGAGCGTCATCGTTAAAGGCGATAGAAGAGGGATCGCTCAACCCGATAGAAGACATGATCAGGCAGTAGTGTTGTGATAGCGAGAAGATGTGATGTGAGGATGAAAGAAGGAAATTTGAAAGCCCGCCAAATAACAACGAACTCCGACAAAAATTGTACCAGAGGTACGGGACCTTATAATAATGGGGTCGAAATCAGAAATTCCAATTAAATTGACGGAAGTTTGAGAATTCGGAAGGAAGCGTCATCTGTTTTTTTTAACGAAAGGCCCAAATACCGCAGTCCTAACTTTTACTCTATGGGATTCCTCTATGTAGGTGTACCAAAAAGCCCGTCCAAACTTCCAAATTCCCATGTTCATCATCACATTTGCCCAGGCGAAAGTATTAATATAAAAAATCTGCGAAAACCAGAAAGACATCATGGTTCTCAGATTGTGCAGTTGCCACAGAACAAGAGCCCCAGACTTGTTGGAGGATATGGCTGGAGCGTTCCACTGCGTAGTCTTTCAATCCAGCTTCCAATTTGCACATGAAAGATGCGGTTGACAACAAAGTCCTCTCAAGGGTTCGAAAGAATGTAACCTTCTACGGACGGAAATCTTCTTAAATGGTTGAGACGTGAATGTGAGCTCATGATTGTTAGAGTTATACTGTAATATTTCAACAACATTGGCACGAGGACACTCGATTGAGAGCTCGCTTCAAGGAATCAAGAAATCTGCAACAGTCGAACCTACTGCAAGCATTCCATTTGACCACAGCAACGACAAAGTTCTGATGTCGGATTGCATGCATTCCTTCTTCTTCAGAATCATAACTTCTGTCATTATGATCAATGCTCACTGTTGCGACGAAGCATTGTCAAAGCCTATACGATTTATGTTAACGCCGCATCTTTGTGACGATGGTACATGGTCAATCGATAGACAGATGACGAGTGCTCAAATTTTTGAAAGATATGACAATCAACAGACGACCAGTTGGTAGCAAGACCTTCACCCGAAATAATGATAGTTCCATGAAGAGGGTGTGACCTTCACGTTCAGACGTTGGATCCATTCCCTCATCTTCTCAATCAAGACGAAGGATACCCTTTCATCCTCACCCGAAAGGTATCTCATGGTAGCATACTTCGTCAGTCCTCTCAAGTCGAGGCAACATCTGACGACTGAGGTCACTCAACCATGAATAATACTGGGGGGGGAACTTTCAACTTGTCTTTTGGTCGGAGCACAGGGACCAAAACTTGAACATATATTAATCGTACCTTTCTCCCTCTGTAGATGTCATATTCATGCAAGTCCTTTGCGCTTTTGTCCAACACTTATTTTGCCATCATGCATGATCTTTGTTACTCTTGATCTTATTGATCGCATACAACACTGTAGAAATTGTTGACCGTCCTTTGTTCGATCCTTGGTTCGATTGGTCGAAGCAGTCGAAGAAGTCGAACCGAGTGACGAACTTATTGACACGAAATCTCATCCGAAAAGTCATCGACACCGCGCCGACATCATATTATCGAGTGCCAATCCAAAATAGTATGAAGATCACCATCAGCTTGCTTCTGTCTTTGCTTTTCGTCGACACGGCTAGAGCCTTCGCCGCTTCATCATCTACGAATTTGAATGTCGCCAGCTCCTTCGAGCAAATTTCAGTGGCGCCGTCGTCCCCCTCCTCACTCTTATTATTGTCAGCAACCACCACTGGCGATGAAACCCAAGAGATGAGTCTTGAATTATCATCATCATCATCACGACGAGAAGCTCTTCACGGAATGATGGCATTGGCTAGTGGCCTCACCGTGATAGGAACTTCACCATCGGATGCCTTGGCCGAAGAAACCCCAATTTTACAAAAGTATGAAGATTTCGAGCCTACATCGGAAGGATGGTCTTTCCGAGAAGTCAAGGTTGGAGATGGAGCATCCCCAAACAAGGGCGATCGCGTTGTATTTGACTGGAGTGGATATACTATCGGCTATTTCGGCCGTCCCTTTGAAGCCAAGGGGTACGTAGTATAGCACTGATTACCTTGGACTTATTATGTCCTCGAGTCCTCGATGCATGCTTTGTCATCGTCAATGAATGCTGTTTGCTCACAATAAGTGTCTTCGTCTTCTCTCCTTTCGGCTTTATCACAATAAATCATGATATATATATACAGCGGACCGCAAGGTGGCGCCTTTGACAAGGAACTCGATTACTCCCGTACGGAAATAGGCTCTGGCAAAATGGTCAAGGGACTTGAATGCGCACTTTCCAGCATGAAACCAGGCGGTATTCGACAAGTTTTGATTCCCTTTGGCGAACTGGGTTATCCTCAAGAAAAGGATCCTTCTCACGAACAAGTGGGTCCCAAACCGACTACCTTTTCCGGCCAACGAGCCCTGAACTTTGTGCTGGACAATCCACGGGTCGATCGCACCCTGTTGTTCAATGTCAAGTTGATTCGTGTCGACAAACCAGATGGAAAGGGTGGATATATTCGTGGGGAAAAGAGAACGTAAATGGAAATCCTATATAAAATAAGCTATCCATCATTTCTCTTCGAATCGAAACTAGGTTACGATTATGACTGGTTAGACGTTGAGCGAGCACTGGTCTGTTTCTTCGGGTGGCAGTCGAGGTTATGCCGGGAGGCGCAACAGATTTACCATAACAAACCCCTCACGCTTTTCGTCTAGTTTCACTTCCCAAACTTAATGACGGCAATGTCAGTAAATATCATCTCATTTTTCCGTAGCATGAACTCTAGCCACAACACGAAAGCTGATATGTTGGTAGGGCGTCTCATACGGTAATTCCTATGAAACGTTTCCAAGGATCATTACCTCCATGCTGGAGACAACAAATCTTAGCTTTTCTTGAGTCCCTTCAAGATCGCTTCCACTTGATTTTGTATTTCCTGGTCCACAAACTCTCCCCGAGCCACTTGTTCCGTGGCTGGTCGCCCTATCTTCTCTTCCAAGGTCTCCAGCAATCGAACGTTGCGCTTCCATACTTTGCTTGCGTCACCCGATATGGATTCGACGGCGACGGATACCTACAGTATATAAATGTATAAAATGAATACATGGAGTTTTGTGTTGGTAACCGTGCAGGATTCTATGCAACTGGCCACTCATCATCATGATGATCATAAATGGAATGGACTCACCTCTTCTTCACGGAGGATGTGCAATGTAGGGTAGGGAGACCTACATGTTTTGAACAGGCTTTTAGCTCGGATGAAGCAAGGAAATCTCTTACAGATGTGCACTCAGCCAGGAAGCAGCCAATCACTGAATTCAAACTCACCTATTCGTGTAGTTGTCGATACCATCGCCCGATCCATCGAATTCGAATTTTGGATGGAAATGGGCTACTTGTAGGTCACCATCCAGGTCCCAATCATCCAAAAGACCTTCCACCATTTGGGTTATTTCTAGGAATGCCACAAAATTTTCTGGAAAAAGGTCTATTGATTCCAAGCATGAGAATGATAATGTGACGAATAAAACACTTGTTGGTTACTTCGCCTTCGATCTATGCTTACCTGGACAAATGATCAACGAGGTCCCCTTTCGTTTTTGCCTTCGAAGGCACTCTGACAATACGCTTGCCAAAATTTCTACCTGTTCGCTGCCGTGTACAACCTCCATGGACAGCGTCTGTTGCATCAGCGGTTTCTCGGCAAATGGGCACAGACTGAGCCCGATCACGGACCGGCGAAGCCAATCAAGAGACTGTTCCAGAATCTTTCGATCTTCTTTGCCTTCGTCGTCTTCGTTTGCTGCTGATGATGATGATGATGATGATGATGATGATGATTCACCCAAAATATAGTCTCCAGTCGAAAAGTGACGATGGCTTATCCCCCGGTTTATGATCATTCTTGTTGTTGGGCTTGCAGGATGGATCCATGCCGCTGATGTGGACTGAGAATACAATGGTAGCGTTGTAGCCAGAAGGAGAGCTTGTTTCAAGTGAAAGTGCGGGAATCTTATTGCCGCCGCTCGTCGGGAAAGACAGTTGTAGGTCAAGTGTTGCATTTTGTCTTTCGTCTAATTACGGCTTGTTGATGCGGTGAGAATGTTGGTTTTGTATATGTATGTATATTGCGAGATTAAAGTTGATGGTTGCGCAGTAATAGGGTATACTAGGGTGATGGGATGGGGGATGCTATTATCATGTCGTTTCACATTATTATCTGGGGGCGGGGAGAATTGTCGTCTGCCATTCCGTGCGAGATCGTCACAAACGCACATTTTATATAC